AGAGGCAGAGGCAGAGGGAGAAGCAGGCTCCCGGCAGAGCAGGGAGCCCGATGCGGGACTCGATCCCAGGACCCTGGGATCATGACCTGAGCTGAAAGCAGACGCTTAACCGACTGAGCCACCCAGGCATCCCCTAGTTCTTGATTTTAATCAAGTAACACCGTGGGCTGGTCGGTTAAATTTTTTGGGCTTTGGTTTGCTCATCCACAACATGGAACTATACCACCTAATTAAAGGAAATCTTTTTGATGTCTATAATGCTATCTTTTTGACAGCATAGTTTCTAAGGAAGAGCCGTGAGCTATTGTTATGAGGGAAGGTGCCTTGCAGAACTGACAAAAATGACTCTCTGGGTTTGTCCCAAGCAAAGAGAGGGATCAGCCAGCAGTTTCTCAGAGGGAAGTCTCAGAAGAATTCCAGTCAAAAGCTCAACTGCTCAAATAATGTCTCTCCTGTTGAGTTGAACACACTGTTCCTTCCTCTGAATTGTTTTCATTGCCTCCCTGGGGCTATTTTCTTCAGACACAAACCAAATAACTGGTTTTCTCCCCACTGCTCCTCCCCACTGCTTCTGGCAATGTCCCTTCACCTCAGTGTCCTGCTGTCTGGTCGTCGGTTCTCAAAGGTGACTGATTCAGCGAGAATGTTATCCCATGAGGAGTGAAATCAGGATGGTGGCACACAGGGATTTTATACTACTGGATTCTGGAATATCTATATAGCCAGGTAAACCAGTTTTCCCTCCTGAAGTTCTCCTGAGGGACATGCACTCAACTGTGAATGACCTACCCCAGGCCATTGATCATGAGCAGCTCCTCTTCCTTGCCCATCCTGACACTGAGCAGGCAGCGGATCTGGCCCAGCGCGGCCAGCAGGTTGATGGTGTCGCTCACGGAGACCTGACTGATGGTGTAGGTCTTCCGCAGGGCCTGCAGCAACTCCCCGATGCTGTCATACTGTCTCCGGAGGAGGTTGAACATCATCCGGACCAACTCCGCGTCTTGGATCTGGTCCTCCTGGGCCCAGCGGATCATGGTCTGTGAGATGAGCTCCTTCAAGGTTGCTAGAAGGACGATAGAGAGGACCAGTATGGTGGCTGTCATGGCACAGGGAGAGAGCTGTGTATCTCAGCCACCCCATTCGACAAGGACATAACATCAGTGGTCAAGGTTAAAACATTCTTTTCCTAAGGGTGAATATGGCACGCAGAGAAGTGAAATACATCATCAAAAGACATATATGTGAACCATACTACAAGAAATGAATATCACAATTTTGAATGGAGAGTACTAAATATTTTATTTTGATTAAATGACATTTGAATCGATACTGGAAATAGAAGACTAAGTAAGATACTGTCCTTGTGTTCAGGGGCTCACAACCCAGTTCTTTACATTTTCATTCTGATTTTATAAAAAAAAGTTTGTCTTTATTTTATAACACAGTGTAATAAATACTAAAATGTGCAAGTGCCATGGGACAGAGTGGGGAGTAATTAATTCTGGGGCGGGGGGTGGCAGAGGCATGAGAAGGTGACACTGGTCACTGGCTCTTTCGAGTCAAGTGATATTAAACCCTGGATTTTCTCTACCATGGAGACTATTCGCCAAGTACTTTAAATATACCACATACCATGAACTGAGTAAGCCACACCATCGATGCAAGAATTCTAGAAGATATTTTGGATGACACACACATAAAACTCTGTTAGGAGATGGAGAGAAGTAGATGGAGAACATTCTATTAGGTCTGAAGATTTTGCAGCTGGACCGCTGACCATCAGCCCCTTGAACGGACTGTGTTGCTCTGATCTTCAGCAGGGGTCAGCGAACACTGCCTCATGACCACTTCCACAAGCATCAAGAGAAAAGCCAGGATGCCTCTGAATTCAGAAGTTATCAGGGCTCATACGGGTTGCACAGAAATACCCCTGGCTGCCCAGGTAACGGAAAGGTCATTGAAGTGGGAGCGGATCAACCGTGGGACCTTCAGAGGTTGGACTAAGAGGCTCCTGAAAAGCGCTGACTGGCACTGGTGTGGTAGGATGGTCAGAAGGGAGAGGCAGATCTGAGGTAGAGGAAAGAGGGAAAGATGGCTTGCCAGAACGTCTGGGAGGGCACTGTGCACCCCCTCCCCATGTCTCTCACACACACATGTCTCCAGAAAATGCGATGACAGGGGTGAGAAATGCTGCTCTAAAATCACAGTTGCCTCCAAGTCTGGCTCTGCCTATCGCATTCCCACAAGGTATGGATGGCACCAAGATCCTTAATTCAGACCTGATGATAAAGGCAGAGCTTAGGGGACAATAAAGGTCATTCAGTCCATCAGTGAAGAAACTGGGAATAAGCTTAGATCGGTGCCTTTGGTAGCCTGCGCCACCTCTAACAGTCTAGTTTTCTACCTCCATGTCATTATATATGGCAGATGTCTGCTCTACATACAGTCTTGGCTCATCATGAGGATATAAAAATAGAAGTTACCAAAGCTTCAGAAGAGATCTAGATGTAAAGGATGAATTTAACTTACTGCTGGGTCTATCAACCCTGTGGGTGTTGTAGGTTCAGATGAGAGACAGGCTGCAAAACTTAAAAAAGGATACCCAGAGCAGAAAGAGGCAAAGTTAAAAGATGTTCCTAAGAGACCTCACTAGGGAGGGATTGCTGACTAATATCTGTTAGGTTAGATCATATCTCTATCCTCTGGGGGGAAATCAGTTATTTATGGGACAGGCTGGGCTGCTGTCAGGATCCTATTTCCTCACTGGCCAAATAAATGTAAGAGTTTCTGTTTCTCCCAGTTAATAGTCACGGTAAGGAATGAAAGCACGACAAAACCGTACAACAGACACTCTTGGACCCAATGAAAGTTTTTCTAGTCCTGTAAGTACAATTCCCCCTTCAGCCTACCTCGTGACCTGCAAGAATTATGGTTTTCTCCACTAACAGCCAAATTCTCTGCCGAGATCATTCACATCACAGTCCCTGCCGCACATGAAAAAACAACCACCAGAATTGTTAGTCAGCTCAAGGACCATCCTCTTGTCAAAGGGAATTTTACAGAGTCCTAAGGAAACCAAGTAAATATTAGTTTTCCCTTAACTTGGCTTTCAGATTAGTTCAGGAACTGGGTGAGCTCTTAGCCACACAGTGATGTAATAATCCAAATCAACATTCATAGAGAAAGGAACATTTACAGCAAAACACCTCTTGAGAGGGCCAACGAGAAAGGAGACAGCCCTTTACCTGAGAGAGTGGAGCAGGAAGCACCCGAACGGTTCTCTGTCCAGGCAAGCCTTCCAGCAAGTGTAAGAGAATAGGATCAACAGTTATGTGTGTGTGACCAAGCAGAAGCTCAATTAAAAGGAAAACATGACCCCAAGACTCTGACAGAAAAAAGCAAGACTCACGGTCGTGTTATTGATGGACAGATGCAATTCAGTGAATGCACGACATTTAAGGCCATTCTTGTAGGACAGGGTTTCAAACTGGGAGATGGAAGTTCAGAAACTGAGAGAAAGAATAACTATGAGAAGAAAGAAGACTGAGGAGAGATGGCGGGGGAGGAAATATTCCCAAGAGCCCTGAATGCACGGCATATTTCATGGCCTGACATACACTAGAGACTGAGCACCACCAAGCAAACCTAGGCTGAGTTAATGAATTTTTTTTTTTTAAAGATTTTATTTATTTATTTGAGAGAGAGAGAATGAGAGACAGAGAGCACGAGAGGGAGGAGGGTCAGAGGGAGAAG